TGCCGCAGAAGTCGGGGCACGCAAAATCCTTTTCTTGTTGCTCCTTTTTTGTGTCGTACTCAGAGGCGAAGCCGTCGCGTTGGACCGCTTTTTGGATGGCCCTTGCTTTTTTCGGCTTCTTAGCAACTTCCACCCGCGAACTGACATTCGGTGCTGAATTATTTAACACAGGTGCAGCTACTGGGGGGAGAGCGGCCGGCGGTGGAAAGTCGGACTTTTTTTTTCCTCTTCACCCTTTGTCTCTTAGCCTTCTGCGGCTGCAGTGGTGCCTGTGATTCCAACTAAGACTAAGTACAGTCCTAAGTCATCTTAATAGTGACAAAACCACTTGGCGGCTTTCGCTGTCGCACGGATGGGCCGGCTTGAACCGGGGTGGAACCACGACCTCACAGAATACCAGCGTGAAGTAGTGATTTACTGAGTTTCGCTTGGTAAGTGCAGGAGGCCGAAGGCCCAATTCCCCCCCCCCTCCCCCTAAAATTTTAGCGGAATCAATAATAAAACTACCCCAGGAGGGTACCAGCACCCCTGGTGACGGAGAATACCTCGCTGAGCATCCACGACCAAGTTATCATACTTTTCCTGAGCGTAGGTGCTTAGGCTACCCCACGTATTCTGGGGAGGGGAGGGGGGGGACAATTCCACTTCCAACTAAAACCATTCGGGGCAAGCGGAACAACAATCCAAGGCTACCCCTACCGCGCTTTCCGTGAATTTTTGTTACATCTACAAATTAGAACACTCCTTTGTGCCCCGGGCTGGAGTTTGCGTATACCTCAGAGAAGACATCTGTTTATGACGCCTTGTCAGTCTTGAAGGTACGAACCTGTGCATCCTGTAGCTGCTCGTAGACAGCGAGGACCATCCCTGCGTCTACGGGTGCCTATATATGTCCCATAAAGGTTATGCCAAAACACATCGACTCATCGACCACGTCCAAATGGCTACAGATTTTCGTGCTATAGCAGATCCCATGCGCAGAGATCGTGATCCTTTTTTTATAGGATAGGGTGACAAACGAGCACACAGTTCTTGGCGATTTTAGTGCCCACCATGCCGAATGGCTCACGTTTAACCGATCATGCGGGGAGATCTGTTTATGACTTTACCTTGGCATATGGTCTGACACAATTGGTTACTTCGCCTACGCGGATCCCCGATTAGGAAGGTTCCTTGTTGGACCTTCTGCTAACCTCTCATCCAGGCAGATGTCAGGTTTCCATCGACGCCCCTCTAGCCTCGTCGGATCATTATATTGTCCGGAGTGTGGTGTGGTTGCATTCTGCAGGCTGCTGCAGTATTTGGCACTATAGGTCGGCCGATTGGGATAGGATGAGCTCTTTTTTCGCATCCTACCAATCGTTGTTGCTGATCTATTCCAATGTTGTTGCTGATTCTGTCGCTGATGTAGTATTTCAGGGTATGAAACTTTTTATTCCTTCCTCTGTGGTGCCCATCGGAGGCAGATCTCAGTCATGGTTTAGTCCCTCCTGTAAAAGAGCATCATACTATAAGCAGGAGTGTTACTGGGCCTGGGATGACGCATCAACGTCCCGGGGTGTAAACACTAGCATCCTAAAAAAGAAGTATAATTCCGCCTCCAGGTCCTTCAAAAGAGTCAAAGCCAAAGCAACGTCAGAGTACGTAGGCAGAATTGACGAACAACTACTTCGCCTTCCTTCTGGAACCAGTGCACTCTGGTCTCTCGTCAAATCTGTCTAAGGGAATTTCTGTCAGCCATCTCTTCTATCTCTGCACAGGGAGGCGACTTACTGGCCCATGCCGCAAAGGAGAAAGCCGATTAGCTAGGCTCTTCCTTTGCGTCCAACTTGACTCTCGATGATGGGGGGAACACAACGCCGACCATCCCGCAGTGTGAGTGCTCCATGCCAGATGTGTGGTTTACACAGCGCTCTTTCTTCGCAAACACTTCTCTCCCTGGACATCCACAAGTTGAGTGGGCCCGACGAAATCCCCCCAATTATGCTGAGGACGTGCGCTCCAGAGTTGGCACTGGTTCTAACCATCTATGTATGATGATAATATGAATGATCCTACTCTCTAGGCGTAGTCCCAAAATCATGGAAGTCGGTTTTCATCTACCCGATTCCTAAAAAAGGCGACCGCTCATATCCGTCAAACTACAGGCCTATCGCCATCACCTCCTTGTTCTCCAAAATAATGGAATCCATTATAAACTGCCAGCTCATGCGGTACCTTGAGGATCACCAGCTGATTATTAGCCGCCAATACTGTTTTCGTCGGGGTCGATCAGCTGGTGATCTTCGGGTCTACCTGACTTATCGATGGGCAGAAGCAGTAGAGTCTGAAATTAGAAAAAAAAATTGTGCAATTGGATCACCAGTGTCATACGTGGTAGAGCCATGCTATTTTTCTTCACAATCTTTTTTATCTTAGAATCATAACCGGCCATCTTTTAGTTTCTAAGTGTGGTAGAGCCATGCTGCAGTTATATTAGTAGCATAGTTGTAGCACGAATGGGTCGGCAAGACCGGGGAAGGGCCACGCTCTTACAGAATACCAGCGTAAAATAGTAGCTTAATGCTGCTGTGTTTCGCATGGTGAGTGTAAAGAACCGGAAACCCTTTTTACTGGAAACGAGGCACTCCATCTTAGTCCTTACGGGTGACAACGCATCTGCATTTTGATTTGCAATCGAGGATACATGTAGATGTCTATGAGCCGCAGCAACCACTTACATTCATGTGGACTGTGTGCTCGTTTGTCACCATATTCTATTTAAAAAAAAAAAACAGTTTTCTTGCAGATCGGTGCATCAAGGTCGTTGTAGACGGTTCATGCTCCGATTATAAGATTATTAATGCTGACGTTCCACAAGGCTGCGTGCTATCTCTAACGTTGTTTCTTCTGCATATCAATGATATGTTGCCAACCGGTAACATTCATTGCTATACGGATGACAGCACCTATGATGCTCTGTACACCGGCTGTGCCAATATTTCTTGGGAAAACGCCTCCGTGTACCAAGACAAACTTGTGTCTGAAGTCTAGTCTTTGCTGAACAAAGTCTCGGATTGGAGGCGACTAAATCTAGTCCATTTTAACCCTCAGAAGATACAGGTTTGCACGTTTACCGCTAAAAATAACCCCTTTATCGTATCCCCTCAGTTTCAATGCCGCCGTGCCACCAGACAAATTTGATAGCAATCATTTTCTATAATATTATTATTAAAATATATAGTATGTTTATCAGTTGTCTATCCCATCCCCTCGACTAATCTGTGTGATAGTTGTGGAATATTATTATTATTATTATTATTACTCCTGTTGTTGCCTTAGCCAGTATCGAAATCCTCGGCGTCAACTTATTGAATGTCGTGCAGTTTCCTGGTCATTTGGAAGAGAAGGCCAAATTGGCCTCTAAAAAGCTTGGCGTGCTCAGCAGAGCGGGACAGTATTTCATGCCGACACACCGCCTGTAACTTTATAAAGCACAGGTTCGGCCCTACATGGAATACTGTTCTCATCTCTGGGCTGGGGCTCTCCAGTGCCAGCTCCTTCCACTTGACTGCATCCAACGCAGAGTGGCTCGAATCGTCGACGACCGAGTGCTTTCCGATCGGCTTGATTCACTGGTGCTACTAAGAGATGTTGTATCTCTTTGCATTTTCTTTCGCATCTACGACGGGGAGTACTCTAAGGAATTGTTTGGATTAATGCCAGCCGTCAAATTTCATGAACGCACTACGTGGCAAACTTCCTGATATCATCCACACCATCTGGATGTTTGGTGGTCCACCACTATACGTTTCACATCAGTTGAAACAGTATTGAAATTCTAAATTTGATGAAACCCTTTCGAACGCCACCAAGTTCGTTCAAATCAGTCACGTTGTTCAAAATTTATGAGAAGTTTACATACACACACATACATACAGACTTAGTGACATCTTTGTAGGTATATTCAGAACAACTTCCTACTTTGAGTGTTGGTGGAATATTCAAAGGCTTCCTAGGACCTCCAACGTCGAGATCTGATGAAACCTCGATTTTCGAAAACTGGGGTGAAACCAATAACTTCCTGAGTTTTTGAAAATCATAGCGGGAAGTTAAAAAAAAAACCAGCAGAACCAAGTGCACGTCATTTGTATATACATTATTATTGAGTTGTTAAGAAATATTTTTAGGAAGTATTTTTATTCGAAATTATTTTTATTAACGTATTAATATAGTAATAAAATTATAATTTCTTGCGCTATTTTACATGAAAAATAATTATTGTTATCTAGATAATACAAAAACAAATTTTATCAATTGAATTTTCAATAACTTTTATCAAATTTTATGTATCTGAGCGTGTTTGTGTGTGTGTGTCTGTAGCTGACGGTCACGCGAGTTTAGTGCTTTTTCCACATGAGTAGATACTAGATAAACGGAATATCTACACATGTGCTTTTTCTCCGTGCTAAAAGTGTCCAAAGTGCCTATAGAAGTTTCCACTTCAAAACTCACCGATTTTTGTGGGCAGCTCTTATAATTCGTAATTCGAATTGTGAATGCGTTCATAGACAGCTTGCTACATATTTATTTATCTATGTTCTTATTCATCTAATTGTTTGTGGTTATCTGTTGTGATTTGTTTGACGTTCAAGTCTGCTCTCCTTGGACCCATACAACCAACTTTATAATTTGTGCTTGGACCTTATCTTACTGATATTTATTTTGTTTATTTTTGTCATTGTTACACAAATATTTGGGTGATGTGTTGGGTTTTTGTGCTGTACAGATTTGTTTACTGTGTAATAGGAAGTATTTAAATAATTTAAAAGTTTTTTATAATGTGTTCCTCCTCTATTTTATCATTTTTTAGTCAGTGGAGACTATGGATTCGGCCCTTCTTAATTGCCTTATATTTTATACTAGTAATTATCCTAGTTCCCTTGCTGGTACTTCACTCAATAAATAATGGATTTACGAAATCGGATCAAGGGTCTTTAGTTGCTGGAGGATTTGTGTTAATGGCCTTACCCATTTCCATATGGCAAATAACGCAACATATTGTTCACTACACAAAGCCATCGCTGCAGAAGCATATTATAAGGTAAAGATCGTTATTTCCCTTTAAAATATTTTATATAATCGGTGACAATTTCTGTTCGATTCAATTTTTCTGAATTCCAAATAGAGACATTGGAAATTGAAATCAACTGTTTTTATCTACTGTGTCAAAGTAAATGAGGCTCACTTAACTACCCATACCCAAAGCCAAAATGACCACTGTTGCAAAGAACTTGTTTTAACCTCTCCTCTCCCTTTAATTTACTCAGACCAGCGGTCAGGCCAAGAACAAATTTTTATTAAATAAAGGTAAATATAACATCATTCGCTAATTAATTTTACTATATTCTTATCTAAAAATAAAATCAACAATCAAAATATGGAATTATTTGCATGAAGGTCAAGTGAGCACTAGAGAAACGACATTTGCAAGATGTTGTCAATAAATAAAATGTTTTGAGAATTGTAAGGAAACAATAAGGAGAGGTAGGGGGTTATTTTATAATTAGAAAACATATTATTGTGTGTGGAAAAAGTCAGCAGACATCAACATCAAACAATTTATTAAATAAATGTTGCATAAACAAGTCCATTGGTTAAAACAGTAATAAATTAAATAAAACAAACAAGTTTACTGAAAATAAATAAAAATTACTTCGACAACTAAGACAAATTTAATGACACTCATATGATAAAATCTAAAATCAAGCAGTTTGGGCTACAGAGCTTGCCAAAGAAAAAATAAATCCATATATGGGTACTTGAAAAACATTACCCTTCTTCAAGTAACCAAGTAAATAACTCTGGTAGATTTCTATCAAGAGAAGCCATAATTTAAAGGAAGAAGCAGAAAAAAGGTTGTATTAAAAACAAATCATGTAGACAGACAGTAAGATTATCCACTACCCTCGTTTTGTCTCATCTCTTGGGTGTCGGAAGAGGCGTCTTCTTAATGACAATTAAAAATGACAGGTTTTTCGGAACCTATGGTAAAAACACAGTATGACTTTCAATAAGTGTTATCTGTATTGAATAAAAATTAATTACATTCTATTCAAAAAAATTATTATAAATTCAGATGGAAATGTTAGCTATCTAAATTGAAAACATACAGTATTTCAAGGTAGTTTTATACTATTGCGGTCCCTTCGTTTATTGGCTCTAGAAAATCGAAAAATCGTCCGATTTCGATGATTTTTTTGGAAATCTTCGTTTTTACGGCGTATTTACGAAAAAAAATACAGGAATAAATAAAATTAAACTTTTATTGGTTTCAGGGCTTTAAATGTTCATGAAAATTCATTCATTCACTTATAATTGTTAATAACTTTTTTACAAATAATGGAATGAAGTTGTTATATATTTTTTTCATTATGTACACAAAAAAACGAACATTTAATTTTTATTTTGGTGTTTTATTGAGTGTAAGATCAAGCTCGGGACTTAGGGCATCCCAACTCGGACAGGTTAAGTTAGAAGGAGATGGCAGGATTGAGTGAGCGAGCGAAGCATGTGAATAGACCCCGCCATCTCCTTCGTGGTTCTTTTTTTTATAAACCACTCAAAAGTAGTCTTGGACCGGGCTTCTCTCGACTGCGCTAAAGGTTAGAGTTGGGGCATAGCACAGTCGAGGGTAGCCAGGTCGACGAAGCCCCGCTTCGCGGGCTCCTACTTTTGAGTGGTTTATAAAAAAAATAACTACAAAGGAGATGGAGGGGTCTATTCGCTCGCTCACTCGACCCCACCATCTCCTTCTAACCTAACCTGTCCGAGTCGAGATTCCCTAAGTCCTGGGCTCGCTTTGTTTGATCTTACACTCAATAAAACACCAAAATATTAACTTTTATAATTATTTTGATTTTTCATGCACGCACGCACCCAATCAGGGTGTGTTGCCAGTAATAGATCTGAGACATAGTCCTTAATTGCTGACCGTATAAGGTTGCTCCGCTAGTAGTGAAGACTGGCTATACTCGAGGAGCTTGAGGATATACGCAAAAGAACCAGAGTAATTCATATCCATATTGCTCGAAGATACAACCACTAATTTTCGAGTGGCAGCCTCATACCAGTAAGTGAACTGTGAAGTTATTGATCGTCACTAGATGAAGTGACGATCTAATAAAAAGTGCAGGGAGTCGATGGACGTACGTGGTACAGAAATTATGGCATTTCTTGAAGGAGGTCTATGTTCGGTAGTAGTAGGACTTGTTTCGAGTTTTAATGATGATGATGAGGATTAATCCTGTAAATATTGACTCGTTCTGAGGTGAAATATATAGGTACATAATAACAGCTCATACTCGTAGCTCACATTTTTCTTTTTTCGCTAAAAATTACTTATATTTTTTTACAAGAAAATCATTTTTTATTAATTTAAGTATATGACAGATGATGTAAAGCCATTGGTCCTGCGCCTTATGTCTCTTCGGTTGTGCCGGCATGCTGTTTAATCGGACTATGAGAGTGAGGGAATAGAGAGCACTCGGGCACAATAATCCTGTCCTGCGCAGATGGCTAGTCTCTGTTAAGACTGGCTGCCGTGACCGAAATTCGGTCTGGAGGACAGTATAATATTACAGATACTTCAGCTCTACCAACCTATATTTCCTTTTTAAATTCCAAATAGTTTTTACCTCAATTTCACTTTTCTTACACTTGTTGTATTTGATATATTACTCCAGCTCTACCAACCTATATTTCCTTTTTAAATTCCAAATAGTTTTTGTACCTCAATTTCACTTTTCTTACAGTTGTTGTATTTGATATATATCACATTTTTTATTTCTGGTCTTGGAGATTATTTGTTTCTTCATATTATAGGGTGTTGTGGATGGTGCCAATATATGCTTTAAATGCATGGATTGGATTGGAGTTTCCAGAGCAATCTATTTACATGGACTCTTTGAGGGAATGCTATGAAGCATATGTTATTTATAACTTCATGAAATATTTGCTTAACTATCTAAATGAAGGTCAGGATTTAGAAGAGGTCCTAGAAACGAAACCTCAAGTTTACCACATATTTCCACTATGCTGTTTAACACCTTGGGAAATGGGAAGGTGAGTTTTTGATATTTAGAGCAAAAGTAAAATACAAGAAATATAATTGGCATTGTAACAATAAAAATATTATATATGTGGTAGAGCCATGCTGCAGTTATATTAGTAGCACGAATGGGTCGGCTCGACTGGGGAAGGACCATGCCCTCACAGAATACCAGTGTGAAACAGTAGCTTAATGCTGCTGTGCTTTGTATTGTGAGTGTAGAGAACCGGAGACCCTTTTTAATGGATACGAGGCATTCCATCTTAGTCCTCACAGGTGACAACGCATCTGCATTTTGATTTGTAATCGAGGATAGATGTAGATGTTTATGGGCCGCAGCAACCACTTACCATCAGGTGGACTGTGTGCTAATTTGTCACTCTATCCTAAAAAAAACATTTAGGATTAGCATTAATTTAATGAAATGTGTGCAACAAGTAACAAAAAACACGGAGCAAATACAAAGAGGAGGTGTTATAATTAGATTTCACTATGTAACAACGCGTGACAATTTGCGGGGTGAGGGGGTATTAAGCGCCGCCCACTTAACTATTTTCCATCTACCGGTAAATAGTAGAACTACACGCATCGTTCCATATCGATGTTGCAATGTAGTTTAGCTACCTTACGCTTGGTGTAGGATGTAAAGGGACGTACTCAGAAATTTCGTACCAGGGAGTATTTATTTCAAGATTAATTTTGTGAATCGTCTTGTAATTCCATCCAATTTTTTTATTGAAATACCTTCTTTTTCACAAGTTTAACTTTCATTTGAAGTCTTCTGATATTTAGCCCATCTTTTTTCGATTTCCATCGAAGTTGTTCTATCTCTCGCTTTAGCTTCTTTTTTCTAGGGGAATCGTGAAATATCAAAAATTCATTTAAATCATTTGGTAGGCCTAGGTGATGATATTGAGGGCTCTGGTAATTTTCTTTTAACCTTTAATATAAAGTATAATACAACAATATGAAATTAACACCTACTACCAAAAAAAAAAAAAAAACTAGTAAAATACAAACTGCGACCGACCGAACCGAACCGATATATCCAGATTAATACTGGGTAAAGTTCCCTTCTTTAATTTTTTAAAGCCATTTTTTGTAACTGTCAAGTCGTCATAATTGAAATGGCAAGAACAAATCTTTGTATATTTTGTCGGAGTCCAGTCTTGTCTCTTAATTTTTGCTATCCATTGATGTTTAAGATTACCTTCGGATGGAAATCTAGAATATAAAGTAAATAAAATAAGCTTTTTAACTAACTGAACTACAACTGTTATAATAGTTGTCTTTCTTAAGAAAAGTTCCAAGGAGACTGAATATTGTACATAGAATATTTAATTTCATGAAGACTTTATTTTACTAAGGATAAAATAAATATTTCTTGAAGGTTGACTTTTACAAAATGCTAAATATTTAAGTATTTATATACATTATACTATTTTAATGAAGGAAACATTACTTAGGCTTATTTTTTACGAAATGTAATATATATATTGCCGTGGGTAACTGAGTAAAATAATTGGATTCTAATTACGGCCCTGTCTTTTTATTTTATTTTGATTGTTCTTTTACTTGACGGTAGATGGCGGCCTGTTTACAAAATGATTATAAAATCTATAAAAGTAATATTTTGGCGATTAAAAATTCTTTAGGATTGAAACCAACTTCAAAAAAAAAAAACAATTTCAGCATCTTCGTATGATTGTATTACCAATACTGAGCTCGACGTACCTTTATATTTTTAGTTCCCACGACACAAAGTGTCGCCATCTAGTATCGAATATATTTAATTATATTTGAAAGCCGACGAAAAGAGATCTTTCTAGAATTATTTTAATAAATTAGTTATATAATTACTTACACGTGAAATGTGATACCATTCATAGCATCAAAACGTCTATCTGAGTAGTTTTTACACGATAAAACACAACACTTCATCCTTTTCTTCTTAATAATACGAAAATATACTGATTTGCAATTTTCGACACCTATGCGCACAGGACGAACGCTGACAGTATACTAACTAAAGCCACGCTCACTGTGATGACGTCAGGACCTAGTTAGAATCACAGTGCACACTGCACAGTTGGTTAGGCCGTCTCCTCTTTGTATTTGCTCCGTGACAAAAAACTACCGCAAATGTAATCATTCTAATTTAAAAGAGGGTATAATATTGTATATATTTTATATATTTATTGTATCCATTTCAATGTTATATTAGAATAGAATTTCTAAAGAGGGTCTAGCAACTGTTTATTAGTATAGCTTATCAAATAAACCGGATATGCGATATAAAAATGCTGTCAATATGTTCTACACTTTAGTAAATAATTTATTTGCAAAACACCCTGTTTGTAAGTAAAATTGATTACAAATATCCACCATGGTATACTTCGGCATTAAAAAAATTGGAATCGTTTGGCATGAGGGGGAGGGAGAGTGGGGGGAGAGCGGGATGTCCACTACACCCCTACACCACTCCCATGAAAAGAAAGACATTCTTGAGAAAAATTAAAAAGAAAGTACCATAGACGTATCCTAAAAATGTTAATGGTAACATTTATCGCTTTCCGGCAGGAGGGAGTTGTGGGAGAGAGAGCGAGGGTGTCCCCCATCATAATTTTAAAGATTTCTGGAGGCTCACGTATTTCTGGGCGGCAAAAAAATTGAAGCCCTGCGCAGCGAAGGCTGTGGCGGGAGCTGCGGTGCTCTTCGCTCCTGCCACAGCCTACTAACCTAGCTCAAATGAAAGGATTTTTAGGTGTTTAAGTATTTCTGGGCGGTAAAAAAATTGTGTTAGAACCATGCTGCAACTATATTATAGTTGTAGCACAAATGGGACATCTCAACTGGGGAAGACCACACTCTCACGGAATACCAGGGTAAAATAGCAGCTTTAAGGTTTTTTTTTTGGTTCATATGGTGAATGCAGAGAACCGGAGACCCATTTTACTAGAATTAAGGCATTCCATGTTAGTCCTCAGGGGTGAGACATCACATCTGCATTTTGATTCTTAATAGAGGAAAGGTGTAGATGTCTATGGCCCACAGAAACCACTTACCATCAGGTGGACTTTGTGCTCGTTTGTCATCCTTATTCTATAAAAAATACCATAGAGATATAATAATGTGACACTTGTCTTTGACATGTCCCGTCCTTGTTGCACTTATACCAAATTATGTATGCTATCCAGCTTTTACAGTAATATTACATTTTTTTCCATGTTTTACCCTTTTTGATGTTATATTAGTTTATTTTTTCGAAGACTCTACATTAACTTTTAATGCGAGTGGTATAGTTATAATCGGAGACCAATCTTCTACCAAATGTAACACCATTCCCCCAAACTCCTGCCAAACGATTGGAAAGCCAACCCAAGCAGTTACTTCTCACTTATTACTTTACATGAAGTAATAATCGGAGTCGTCGTCGTGCGTCTTTGTAGTTAACATCTGTGACAGTTTGCTCCGCATATAAATAAGTGCATTGTAGTTAAAAGTAAATTACTAGTGTATATTTTGTAATTATCTTAAAGTTTTTGATCTGTGCTATCTATCAGTTTTTCATTTCGAGTTGTAACATTTAAGTTATAAGCAAATACATTTCAAAAAATTGTTTTCGGCCGGCAAAAAATTTGTTACGTACTGACCTACGACAACCCACAGCGCGTTCGCTGCTGTGAGTCACCGACACCCGTTGCTGGTCGGCCGCCGCGCCGTTGAGTGCATCAAGCTGTGCAGTGGTCGAGATGACGTCACGCCAAGTAAACTGCGCAGGATCCCTAACAGCGCATTCATGAGGTGCGCAAAATGTAGGCAATATTTCGATATTATGTGCGCCAATTTTAGTGCGGAAGTATTTGCAACAATGACATCAGAATTTAAAAAGATGTGGATATGTTTCGAATGCCGTAGCAAAATACCTAAGCTTGATAATTCACATACGCCAGTGCGCCAGCAGTTGAGCCATGATACGACTGCCGTTGATGATTGTTTGGATGTATCAATGCATACCCCAGATAATATCACGTTTCGAAACGGGAAACGTCCTGCGCAATTAGTGGCGATGAAATGTGACCCTTGTCCCCAAAACATGGCCCCTGTAGTACAAGAAATAAAGCAAATGCAGGACGACTTCGAATCGCGCCTTACCATGAAAATTTGCGCACTACTCAACGAGCAATTTAATGAATTTAAGACTTCGGTATTTGAAAAAATTTTGCAATTTAACCAATAAGATTGACAAATTAGAAAAAAATGGACAAAGATAATAGTGCATCCACGCAGGGATATGCAGCGGCGGTACAGCACCCATTGAACCTAGATAATGGGAAGACTAATCCGAAAGTAAAATATGGCCCTGAGGAGAAAAATAAGGGAGCTTCGGGCAAACCTAATCCACCCGCAAAAGTAAACACACCCATCTCTTCTTTAGCGCCAGTTTCAACTTTAGTCTCTGATTCCAACACTTCGATTTTGAATGTAAGCCGTGAGACAACTGTTGCTCCCCGGGATGGCGTGGAGCAAAAAGACCCGGAAGAATGGATACAGGTGAGACGTAAAACTGGACGCGCTTCGCTGCCCGGCGTGCTTCGCGGTACTGCAGCGCTGGGGGTGACAAAACTGCGTGCATCTGAGAGATGGAGGTACTTGCATCTCTATTATGTTCAAGAGGGTACTACAGTAGAAGAGGTGCGTGCTCATCTCTACTCTATTAATGGAAATAATGATTGCACAGTGGAAGAACTGAAAGCAAGGGGATGTTACTCATCGTTCAAGCTTGGAGTCCCGTCGAGGATTAGCGAGAGTGTTATGTCACCAAATAATTGGGCTGAAGACATCTGTATAAAACCGTGGCGGCAGAACTTTCGTGCCAAGAAAGAAAGTGCGTAACCTATATTTCTGTTATCAAAACGTTAGAGGTCTACGTACTAAATCGGATACTTTTAGGAATAATGTGTCTCAATGCAACTTTGATGTTATAGCCTTGACCGAAACCTTTTTGAACAGTTCCGTATTTGATGGCGAATTATTTACTTCAGAATATTTAGTCGTATGTAAAGACCGCACAGGGGACGTCGGGTGGGGAGGAGTGCTCCTTGCTGTACGAAACTGCTATACGGTGCAACAAGTAACTAATGTAGATGCCTATACGTCTGGTATGGAACTGCTTTTTGCCATTATTAGTGGAAAAAGTGTTGGAAAGTTTTTATGTTGTGTCGTTTATTTGCCTCCTAAATGTAGTGATAATCTATATCTCAACGTATTGACGTGCATTGAAAATGCTATCATTGCATATTATTCTCTTAATGTCCTAATAATAGGAGATTTTAATTTGAATTCTTGTAGTGTTAATGTTAAGAATAATTTTATTTCATTTTGTGACTATTGTGGGCTTCAGCAACATAATATTGTGTATAACAAATATGATGGCATGTTAGATCTCGTGTTGAGCAATTTTAACCCGGAGCTGGTCTTAGTGTCCGAGGGTTCAGATCCCTTAGTACCAATTGATAAGTATCACCCTCCGCTGGAGGTGACGCTTAGGTTTCAGTGCGATGCGCAGGTCCAGTCACCATCCTCTCCACCGCCGGCTCAGAGCCCGGGAGCTGCTCCAAGCTGGAATTGGCGTAAAGCAGACTTTCTGGGCCTATACATGGCATTAAAAAGTATAGATTGGTCGGACATGTTTGTAATTGCAGACGTTGACGACGCAGTTGCGTTATTCTATCACCGTCTTTATAATTGTATCAGTCAATATGTTCCAACTAAATCCCCTTACATGCCGAATTATAAGTACGTATATCCAAAATGGTTTAATGCTGATATTATATGTAATATACGTAAAAAATATTATCATTTGAAACGGTATAAGGCTGAAGGTAAAGAGTTCAACAAGGAATTATTTAAATACTATAGATGGCATGTTAAAAACTTGATTGACAATGCATATAAGCAGCACTCACATCTGACTCAACAAAATATAATTGACGACCCGGCCAAATTCTGGGAGTACGTTAAGAATAGGAAGAATCACAGGCAGCGTATGAACGCTTATTCTTCCAGTGGTGTCGAAGTTGTTGGGCAATCTGCGGCCGACGCTTTTGCGAACTATTTTAGTTCGGTATATCAGAACAAAGTTCCTGAACTGGACCATGATGATGCGGTACGTGCCACAGATAGTCAATATGACTCCACCTGTATCACAATAAATACTATTGATAATACCAAGTTGAAGGAAGCAGTAAGGCGGCTAAAACCGAGGTCGACGTGTGACCCTGATGATATCCCTGTTTTTTTTAGCAAAGGACTGCATATCCGCTTTCGAGAGTCCACTCCTGTACCTCTTTAACTTGTCACTGACTCAGTATAAGTATCCAGAAATTTGGAAAGTTTCTAGGGTTACTCCGGTTCCAAAAACTGATGGTGAAAATGACGTTTCATCTTTTAGACCGATTGCAGTCTTGTCAGTCTTTGCAAAATTATTTGAAACTGTCTTATGTCAGCAAATTAATAAGCAAACTCAAAAATTATTGCATGATAGTCAACACGGTTTTCGAACTGCCCGTTCTACAACTACCAATCTTGTGTCTCATCTTGACTATACATATGCTGAATTGGATGCTGGTAGGCAGGTGGATGCTTCGATTTTAAGAAAGCATTTGACCTGGTCGACCACGATATCTTGTTGCGTAAATTGGCGGTGATAGGCTTTGCCCCGGCACTCGTCAAGTTTTTTTCAAATTACTTACGCGATCGACGTCAGTTTGTTAAAGTGGGTGCATTTGAGTCTAGTGACTATTACACAAGATCTGGAGTGAGCCAGGGAAGTACGTTGGGGCCTTTGCTCTTTCTTATTTTCATTAATGACACCGAATAGCGTGACTGCCTCCAAATGTCTGTTGTTCGCGGATGATCTCAAGTTAAGCCTAGGTATAGATGAGCCCGTCTGACTGCGAGTCATTGCAAAGGGACATCGATGCGGTTATGGATTGGAGTGTATTAAATCATCTTCCGTTTAATAGTAATAAATGTAAAATAATAACATTCACGCGTAAACGCTGTCCACTAAAAAAAAGAATATAAATTATCTGACACGCCCTTAGTAAGGGTAAGTGAAATTCGTGACTTAGGATTATTGTTAGACGCTAAACTTGACTTTCATAACCATGTGACTACTGTATGTAAAAAGACCAGTAAATTGCTTGGCTTCGTTATTCGCACTTCTTCACAGTTTGATAGATTAGAGGTCGCTTTGGTACTTTACAATGCATATGTTCGTAGTAAGCTTGAGTACGGTGCCATTGTATGGAATCCCTATGAGGAAAAATATATTTTGATGATTGAGAGAATACAGCGCAAATTTGGACACGATGGCTATATAAACAGAAATACGGTTACTACCCCTATCTATATCCGTCCTTATTTGTTAATGGTATGGTGGGTTTGGACACGCTTAAACTTAGGCGAACTATGCAGTTGATAACACACTACCTAGCAATCATCCATAATCGTATAGATAGTCCGATGATATTAAGTAGAGTAGGTTTGTTGGCTCCGAAGCGGCTGGGCTGTGATGTGGAGGGGACGGTGGCACCACGGCGGCGTCCTCGCCTTCTGTGGCAGCCGCCGGCGCGCATCAGGTACGGCGCACACGCGCCCACTTCTCGTGCTATACGGCTTATCGGAGACATGCTCGCAGATTATAACGAGACCGATTTATTTGCTGATAGCTTAGGGCAACTGTGTAATAAAGCCCTTCTATTTTGGACATCCCATTTTGACAAATTGTAATATTATTAGTATTCTCTTAATCCTATCTTATGTAATCAATCTGACAATGACATTTTGCTTAACTTATTTGACTTTTAATCTATCTTTTAATCTTTTAATGTATTTTTTTTTGGTAGTTACTTGATCTACTGGACATGTATTCTTTAATTTGTTTGACCTTTTGACATGTATCTTGTATTATTACTATTATTTAAAACTGTAATTTGTTAATTAGCATGCTGACGTTTTGGGCAAACTGTAAGCCAGCATGTACACTGTTTTTAAAATATAAATAAATAAATAAATAAATGAAATCCATTGTATTGTTGTGCTTATAACTTGTACTTGTTGGTCTAGTGGTTGTAGTAGTGCGACTGCTGATCATGAGGTCCTGGGTTCGAATCCCGGGTCAGGCCAAAAAATCAATTATTGAGTTTTTCTATCAAGAAATTCTCAGTAGCTGCCCGGAGTCAAGATGTTGGTGGTGTTTCACCCCTGTGCCTCGGAAAGCACGTAAAACCGTTGATCCTGCGCCTGATCTCTCTCCGGTCGTGTCGGTTTACCGTCCCATCGGATTATGAGAGTGAGGGAATAGAGAGTGCATCTGTGCTTGCGCATGCACTTGGGCACTATAATCCTGTCCTGTGCCAATGGATAGCCTCCGTTGAGGCAAATTCGGTCTGGAGGACATTATTATTATAACTTGTACTATATGGATTTGCTTTCTTGGGCTTATGACTTATAAAGCTAAATATCACAATCTTTACTTTACAGCGAGTTTGTGCACAATTGCAAACATGGAATACTCCAATATACATTAGTGAGACCGCTAACCACAGTGATATCTATGATTTGTGAACTTTGTGGTGTATATGGAGAGAGTGACTTTAGTTCCAATGTAGCGTTCCCCTACATGATAGCTGTGAATAATCTATCACAGTTTGTAGCCATGTACTGTCTAGTTCTATTCTATAAAGCTAATCGAGAGGAATTAAAACCTATGAAGCCTATTGGAAAATTTCTTTGCATCAAAGCAGTTGTATTTTTTTCATTTTTGTGAGTATTATTAGTGTTTTTATTATCTGAATTAAACTTTAATGATCGAAATATATTAACTATTCTGTCACTTGCAGCCAAGGAGTCATTATCAATATTTTGGTATACTGCGGCGTGATATCAACAATATTTGACATATCTGATAAAGATAAAATTAAAGTATTATCTTCGAAGCTACAGGCAAGTTACTTCACAACACTTTGTGTTAAAAAGTGTTATTCAACATGCACTAAGTTTATTTTAAGTTAGTTAATTGTAAGGAATGTTGTGATAATGCAAATGGATCCAACTAAACCATCCACCTAGAACTCTTAGTTTCATTACATCTGTAAAAAAATCTGTTGAATTGGTAATTTCTTCCTTTTAAAGTTGGTTAAAACAGTCATTACTTGTTCAAAACATTTCATTTCTTGAATTAACTAAACATAGGCGTCGCCCTATATTAAGGACTATTTTGCATATACTTTACGAATAGATCGGCGGTCGTGGTACCAAATATTTAAAATCATTGATGCTGCTCTTCTTGTATGGATACTAATAATTTAGTACATACTAGTGATCATCTATTTGAGGCTTCGATCTTAATTTCCCTGAATTTACATGAGAAAATCACAAGACGATATGAATATGATGAATTATTAAATGTAGTTTATGACAAAGTAATATGATATTTTAAAAAAACATAAATTATTTTGATTTTAAAGGAAATTCAATACCAAAAATAATAATATGTTACTTTTATAGGATTTCTTGATTTGTATTGAAATGTTCCTGGCTGCAATAGCACACCACTATAGCTTCTCATACAAACCTTATGTGTCGCCATTTGATCCGGATCGCTCTTGCCTGGGATCTTTTCTGGCCATGTGGGATGTCTCAGATGTAAAACGGGATATAACCGAACACCTTGGTGTTGTCGGTATGTATGGATTTGTTTATTCACTATTTAAATAATTGGATTTTTCTTTTTATGTAGAAATCTAAGCTTTAGCTTTATTAAAAAATTTGCAATAGTGGGCATGCATAAACATTACTTTCATGAGAATAGATGGAGATAGAATAGGCAAGATGTTTCTCAATGTGTTCGGTATCGTAAGCCATCCGTTTCATGAGCAATACACAAATGACTCTTAGTTATATCCGCATAGTGTTAATTGTGACAATGTGATCAGTTAAAGTTCCGATGTGAGTTCACTTGATTTGATTGATAGATGACAGATGTCAAATGGTCAAAACCAAGGTTGTCTTCAATTTAGTTCTCTCACCATAACACAGCAACATTGAGCTGCATTTAACAATAGTGTTCTGTGAGAGTGTGGTTCTACCTCGGTCAAGCCGACTTATTTGTGCTACAACTATTATATAGCTACAGCGTGGCTCTACCACGTGTAAATGTATGTGTCAGCGAATTTTTTTTTAATTTGAGAGCTATGTTCGAAGAGTGCTTCTATCATGATGTCTCAAATCTATCTATGTAATTTTTGAAAATTAAATTTCTTCTTTGTTTGAATATATTATGCGTAAACTAATTTATTATAATATAATATGATTATTTCGCTACTATTTAAAGTTATACATTTTTTAATGTCCTCCTTGTATTTAAATTGTTGAACATTATAAGCCTATTTTATGGATTTTTATAAACAACATCTTACCATAGATATTTATTTTAATGTAAAATAATAAGTAAGCGCCAAAGGTACAAGAGATCTTGTCACCGTTGTCGCTGCTCCCTGTTACCGGTCTGAATGCTATGAACCTTTGTTATCCTATTAATATTACGTATTTTATTTTTTTAATAACAGGAAGTTCCTTCAGTAGACGATTACGGGGTAAATCAATGTATCATATGACAAGAGGATGCGACGAAAGCTCAAGGTTGGTGACCGAACCTGTTCCATCCAGCTCGGCTCCAAATTTAACCGTAGATACTGAACAACCCCAAGTCGATATTCGATCCACTACCTACGGTTCTATCGAGAACACTGTAACGACAGGTTCAATGAACTCCGAAACTGAACCGCTAATCGATTATTCTGATGACTCTCACCGAACACAAGATCCGAAAGTGTAAGTCACCGTTGTGTGTCTATAGTAGTAGATTAAAATAATCTATGTATTAATCCATTTAAATGCTGTGCGGGAGGACCTTTTCTTCAACCCCATGCGTAAGATCTATTTTTTTTAAAGAGCTACGTTCATTCTACCGCTGGATATAAACCAATTTCAATGATTACTTACAACTTGAAATGTTTTCCTTATTCCCACCATGGTGGGCAGGTGAAATGAAGGGACAAACTGTCGATTATACTTCCTATCGTCTATCGTGTAGGATTCACATGGAATAGTACAAAACCTAAAGAATAAATATTTTAATAATAAATAATATTCAATTACTTTTTGTAAGATATTTTTAAACTATGTTCAGTCACATCAAAAATTTATTTGTTCTTGGTTCTTTCCGCTTAGTATTTTAAAAGGTCAATTTAGACACATTATATATGGATTATGCAATAAATGTTATTGCATGGATTAAATAAAAGTGATAATAGAGAATATGTTTATATCTAAGTTGATTGAATTTCTGCATTCCTGTGAATAAAAATCTTTAGTTCATAATTGTACTTAACCAAAGTATTTCGATGATAATAAATAGTTATTACTTGAATGTATCTTAAAGGTATATCTTAAAAACATTCTTTTCAACCCATAAAATGTGGAATATTTTTATATACAAGATCAACTGGGGTAATTTTGACCATTTAATAAGTAGGTTTTACACAAAATTAGTACTTGCTATATCTACAGTTAAAATGATTAGTAGGTTATTACCTACTCTCTACTTCTCTGGGTCTTTTAATTATATTTATGACAGTGTCAGTAAATGACTAAGTTGAAGTTCCGCACCCTGTGTTATATCTTATAGTTTCCGGAAGTTTGAATGTTACAGTGTTATTTAATTTAACAGTGTAATGGTCGCCACACACGGTCAGTTCAACTGATCATTCCAACTGATCAGTTCAAACTAAAACTGTTGATATTTTTTGAAATATTGGATTTTCGATATATCGATAAATAAACTTATATAGTAGTAGTAGTTGAACTGACCGTGTGTGGCGTCCATTAGTTAATTGATTAATGGTCCTAATGAATTAAGTTGGTTAAACTATAGTTATAGGCATATTGGCTCTTGTTTTCTTCAAATAAGCATGATTTTTTTTCTGTCGACAAAATGAGTGGGAACTGTTTGCTTTTGTTCCCGTTCGCACTCATTGATAACTCCGATGCATTGTTTAGCTGTCGTTTAGTTTTATTTTATGTGATATATGGATGTTACAAATAATTTTAATTTTAGATATAACTTAATTAAGATCAATTACTTTACAAATTATGTATTAATGACATTTTAAGTACTCTTGATCCTGACGCATGAATTATAAAACAAAAATTATACTAATCTTCTTATACTTATGTACACATAGTTAAATAATAGTACATTATATAAAAATAAGAAAAATACAAATTGTTCAGGTCATTTCTTTTGACTGCTATTATATCCAATTTCAACTTTTAATGTCATATACACTGAATGACCTTTTTACCGTTTAGAATAAGATAGGGTGTAACATGTGAACGGAGTAGAGAAGCCTATGGCGCTGATATTTTACAAAAAATAAAAACAAAAATTTTGAATTAAATAAATTAACATCTATCGAAATTCAAGTCATACATTTTTGACCTTGTCACTTCGCAGAGTCACAGGCTAGTATTTGTTTTATAATCACAATGGATATCATTTGAGTTTCGATAGATTTTAATTAATTTATTTATTTAATTATAAACTGTTGTTTTTATATTTTGTAAAATATCAGTGCCATAGGCTTCTACTCCTTTCACATGTTACACCCATTTTTTCCAGACGGTAAAAGAGGTCATTCCGTATGTAAATCGTTTATTTGATTACAAGCGACATAAGCATTTATTACCCCTGCAACAAATGAAGTCAAGTAACAAATGAAATTAGGGCTCCTCCATACTAATTTCGTGTACAAACGAAACATAATTTGATTACATGGTATGAATATAATTTATGTCCTGACGAAATTCGTTGGCAAGATCAGTGCGAGCTTGCTAAGTCTGGGATAGAAGCAGCCACGCACGAAGCTTTCAATTTTAAGTCATATTTAAAGTGTCGTGTGAATCTGCTTCCAAACATAAAATTTTCGATTTTAAGTCATATTTAAAGTGTCGTATGAATCTGCTTCCAAACATAAAATTTTCGATTTTAAGTAATATTTAAAGTGTCTAGAATCTGCTTCCAAACAAAAATTTTCGATTACAAAAGTGTCGTATGATCTCTTCAATGTTTATGTAACCCAAATTTAGAAGCCTATTTATGCAGATAGTATGCGAGTAGATTAGCCCGCGTGAATTTAATTTAGCATTTTTTAAATATTTCACAAATATATATATTATATACTTTTTTAAATACGGTGAGCCGGGTTTTTTGGCATAATATATGGATTTTTTAATATTATAGAAACTACTAAGTTGTTTTATAATTGTAGATTTTATCAAAAAGCTACAAATCCAAGAGTTGATAATGTAACGCTGTCTGTTAATACATTGGTTAAGAACTCAGTAAAATAGGTAATTCTATTAAATGGCAAAAATGTTGTAGTTTTGTTTTATGTGATACGTCAATTAGCAGCAATTACCCCAGTTGGCCTCATTTTTTGTCTGCTTAATGTAATAATATGTTTTGTATTGTTTTGTTTTAAATTTAAAACTTGTTACATTAAAGAGTTTAATGCGTTGTTTAAAATCACAATAAAGAATTTAGTTTACCTAGTCATCGGATCTGTATAGACTACGCAACGTAGTATAAATTAAAAAAAATATAAGATACAATAATGTACTTTACTTTATATTTTGTGATCTTCGTTATAATTTCATACCACAAACTTCAGACCAACAAAGAAATGTAGATGGAGCGCTGCGTACATTTTAAAGTGACGCGCATTCACGCACACATCTTTCTCGTTTTCATTCTTTAATGCCACATTTACACTCAGACACTGCCACTGCTCCTGCCGCTGCCGGAAATATTTCCCTAAATACTTCTTCTGCAATAACGACGCGAGTGGGTGTTAACACTTAGCCTTCATACTTCTTTGTTGATCAACTCGCAACAATGACTAACTGAAAGGTTGTTCGTGCGACAGCATTATCTCTGCTCAGTATAAGTAACTATTAAAGTGTATTGAAAAGAAATAAAAGACGCCGTCATCAAAGAAGGAGGATGAGGGAAATTCATCGCAATAGAACGACGTAAGTACTACTAAAAATTATTTATGTGTATAAATATTTGAATAGTATGAATAAGAAACTTCAGCGGCAAGTGAGCGAGAATGTAAACAGTCGCTCGCGCTCGCGCTCGCGCTGTCCGTCGTTAGTCTTCCGCGCGAAAAACTGGCAATCGAGGGAGCGCCGGCCAGTGACAGCCGCATGAGCAGTGACTGCGCGAGAAACCTGCACACTTCCTTGTTCACTTTTCTGCCGACAAGGCTGAGTGTAAATGTGGCATAACATCCCATGAGAGTCGTGAGCTCACTTTTTATTGGTCGATATGACGTTAACAACGCTGACGCTCAACGTGATTGGTTCGTCAACTGATTCTTGTACTCGTACACTTGAGAGCAATTTTAGTGATAACTTTTTAATTAGTTTACTTTTGTTAATTGTAGTGTTACCTCGTTGTTAATTCTTGTTTGTGTATTTCTTGTTTTCAACTGTTTTTGATATTTATTGTTGTTAATTTTTTTTGTCATAATTTGAGCATTCAGATTTTGGACTAAATATGCAGAAAAGAAAGAATTCGGTGTTAAATAGACAATCCCGACAAATTGTCTATACAGTGTTTTGTTACATGAAAAAATTAGGTATTGTGAAAAACATGATAGACGTTTAGAAACAGACTGCTGTGGCGACTAATATCTACGTAGCTACTGTACGGCGTATATTTAAAGGAATTAACGATTCAGAATTTCGAAAAAAAGTCAAAAATATTCAATTACGAATTGAGATAACAAAGGTACCAATTAATTTTGGCCGACAGTGTAGCTACCATAGCTCATCTGTGCTCACCACTCGTGGCGTCAACCATACTATGTTGTTTGTTGCAAATAATTTAAGACTCATATGTGTGTGCGTGAGTCAACGTGACTTTATATTAAGTTAAGGTAACATACACACCGCTCTGTCTATCTTCTTTGTTGGTCTAAGCCACAAACTTATTAATTAAAACTAATGTTATAATATATGTATTTATATATTTGTATAGTGATATTATTAATGCTTAAAACGACATTGTATAAAATTATGGTAAATATTGAATTTTGTGATATTAAGCATTGTACATTGATAGAATGAAGATTAATTACGTAAATTATGATCAATTCTAGTAATAAATATTTAATTTTAAAATATATTCGGTATTTTTCATTCCTTAAAAATTTAAGATAAGCCAATACTGGAATGAAATTGCGGTCACTAGATTAGAGCATTGTTGTAAATTCTTACAATTATTTGAAATACTGAAAAGCATTTACGATAAATTCATCTATTTACATTATTGTTACGGACAGTCGGTTACATCACGTTGCATGAGAATGTTCTCGATGATAAAGGTCAATGGCCTCTGTCAAGTTAATAAAATGTGTAGGCATAAAAATAGATAACGCTTACACCGTCGACGCAACCTTATGTCTACATATATAAAGCCTTTTCTCCTTTAACTTACTGTTATCGTTATGTAGTTGTGAATGTTCTATTACCAACATCTGTGGCATCTTTACTTTCTGTGGACATCTTTACCTGACATATTTTATCATCATCACCATTACAGCCCACAGGTCCACTGCTGAACATAGGCCTCCCCCAAGCAATGTCACAAAGCACGGTCATGAGCCACCTGCATCCATCGACTTCCTGCATGTCTCACCAGTAGTTAGTTTGCACCAGTTCTGGCTCACTCAGCCCTCATCGCTTGAGGGTGGGTCGACGGAACCTAAA